TAATTATGCTTCCACACAAAAGGGTTATTGTTGTTTTGATCCAAAGTCTAGAACTCAGTATGTCTCAATGGATGTCACCTTTGATGAGTCTTCTTCTTTCTATGATCCTTCTTTGGAGAAGCATTGTCAAAAGGGGGAGAATTAGTCATACTTGTTTGATCTCCCCCTTCGTGTCCCAGTTGAGTCTTCTTTTGAGCCTCCTACACTTCCAGTCACAGAAGAGACAACAGGTACTAATACAGTCCCTTTGGTGCCACCTTTCCCAGACCTTGACATCCCTATTGCTATCAGGAAAGGTAAAAGGAAGTGTACTGCACATTGCATTTCCAAACACCTTTCTTATAGTTTGCTCTCTCCTTCATATTTTGGCTATCTTTCTTCTGTTGCTTCTAACCTAATACCAAGGCCAGTGTCAGAAGCTCTTACTATTCCAGAATGGAGGGATGCTGAGAACAGAAATTGATGCCCTGCATAAGAATGGCACTTGGGAAGTGGTTGATTTGCCTGAAGGGAAAGAACCAGTGGGTTGTAAGTGGGTTTTCACCATCAAATACCATGTTGATGGCACCATTGAAAGGTACAAAGCTAGGCTGGTTGCCAGAGGTTATACACAGACATATGGGATTGACTATCTGGAGACCTTTGCTCCTGTTGCAAAGATGACTTATGTGAGGGTTCTGCTATCTCTGGCTACACATTCAGATTGGCCACTTTACTAGCTAGATGTGAAAAATGCATTCCTGAATGGAGAGTTACATGAGGATGTCTATATATCTCTTCCACCGGGGATGTATGACACAGATATGGAGGGAAAGGTATGCAAGCTGAAGAAATCTCTTTATGGACTTAAACAGTCACCTGGGCATGGTTTGAAAGGTTTAGGGCTGCCATTGTTAACTTTGGCTATATACAGACTCAATCTGATCATACCCTCTTTGTGAAGAGGAGAGGCTCTTTGGTGGTATATCTTATTCTCTATGTTGATGATATAGTTGTGACTGGTAATGATGTAACAAGAATCAATGATCTTAAATCTTTCCTTCATACAAAATTTGAGATCAAAGATCTTGGGGAATTGAAGTATTTCCTTGGCATAGAAGTTGCTCGGTCTAAGGATGGGATCTTTATCTCTCAACAAAAGTATGTGCTTGACTTGCTCACTGAAACAGGGAAGATGGGTGCTAGACCAGTAGCTACTCCTATTGATATGAGTCACAAACTTTCTGCCTCAAATGGAGTATTGTTGAAAGATAAGGGAGTCTTCCAGAGGTTACTTGGGAAACTGCTCTATCTTTGCATGACTCGGCTAGACATTGCATACGCTGTCAACTGCATTAGTCAGTTCATGCATGCTCCCAAGGACACTCACATGGCAGCAGCAAAACAAATTCTGTGTTATTTAAAGGGTTCTCCTGGAAAGGGAAATCTATTTGCTAAGCATGGTCATATGAAACTAGAGGCTTACACAAATGCTGATTGGGCCGAAAACATTGATGATAGAAGGTCAACTTTTGGGTACTGTAACTTGGTGGCATATTGTTTCTTGGAGAAGCAAGAAACAATCAGTTGTTGCCAGATCTTCAACTGAAGCCGAGTACAAGGCCATGCCTCATGGAGTTTCTGAGCTACTTTGGCTACGATCCTTGATGGACGAACTGAGTATTGAGTATGATAAGCCATTAATGTTATATTGTGATAACCAGGCTGCCATCAACATTGCTCACAATCTGGTGCAACATGATAGGACCAAACATATTGAAGTTGACAAACATTTTATCCAAGAAAGAGTGGCTTCTGGAGAAGTTTGTCTACCATTTATCTCTTCTGAAGGACAGTTAGCTGATATCCTTACCAAGGGAATCCCCAAGGCCAAACTTCAGCATGATACTGGCAAGCTTGGCATGATTGACATCTATGCTCAGTTTGAGGGGGAGTGTAGAGAGGATGGGTCGAATGGCCCATAGATTGTTTACTTATTTCTTTTGTTTATGTTCTTTGTTGTAATGGGCCTCAACATGGGCCTTATGTTTTCTTTAAATTATCCGCCCAGTTAAGGGCCTCTCTGTAATTACTGAAAAATTAAGTTAATGAAAAGGGATTTGGGTGTAAGAGAGGATTACATTCGAAAATCTCTCTCTGACCCTTATTGCCGCCATCTTCTTCTTCCTCTTCTCTCTACTTGCTTCTCTCTTTTGTTGTTCTCTATCATCTTTTTGACTATTTTTAATTAGTCCATTTGTTTCAAAAGACTATTTTTCTTCTATTACAATAGCCAAGTCTAGAATCATTTCTTTGCTCTCTTTAAAAGAATTCTATTGCACCACAGCAGATTATAGATTTATTCTCACATGATATCTTGGGATGCCAGACAAAAGGAAAAAAAACTATTATGGCACTATAAAAGTGCTGCAAGAATGTGGAGTATTTGGGGGTAGAAATGCAAGGGTCTTTGAAAATAAAGAACAAGAAACGTGGAAACTCTAATAGAACTAGTCAAAGTAAGAATTGCACATTGGGTTCTAACATGTGAGGAGTTCCATGGTGCGAAAATGGATGATCTATTAAGAAACCAGAACATCATTGCTAATGTGACAATAAGAAGACTACAAAGGGTGATCAATTGGCAGCCCCCTGAGGCTGGAAGACTTGAGCTTAATTTTGATAGCTGTTGTTTAGGCAACCTGGCAAGTCCAGTGTGGGAGGGGCAGTAAGGGATTAAAGGGGCATCATTATGATGAGCTTTTCCGGGACTGTGGGTTATGGAAACTCCTCGAAAGCAGGTATGATGGCTTTAATCTGAGGTCTCAAGTTGCTGGTACAACAAAATTAGAGAAATGTTCTAATAGAAGGAGATTGCCAAGTTGTTTATCACTTGGCTTATTGCAGAAGAGAAACCGCCTTGGAGATTGAGAACTTTGGTTAGGGAAGCCAAATCCATTGGAAATAGACTGAACTGCTCATTCAGGTGGATCCCTAGATCAGCTGACAGCTTAGCTGGAGCAGGAGTGACAGTACAAGGATGTATTTGGGGAAGGCCAGGTCCTGGGGTGCAGTTGTAATTCTAAAGTTCTGGTTTTCTGCATCATTGTATGTCAGCCTCATGCTGTTTGTAGGTATTACCCTTGCTGTCAAGCCTGGACATGGAAGGGAGGTTCTTTTAAGGAAGATAATGTAATGCCACTGTTAATTATCAAAAGAAAAAGCAAGGTTCTTCCATGGAGCAGGCAAGTCAAAAGGTTGTAGACATTGTTCACTTGTGGCTAGCAATACACAAAACCTTCTAATTCATCTGCGGTCAATCTTATTTGATCGCATGATGCTTTTTGTGTAGAAAGAGGAAAAGGGGCCTTGTCAACTGCCATTTAGAGCTGTCAATGGGTTGGGTCTACCCGACATAACCAAACAGACCAACCCAATTATGTCGGTTCTGATTCTTTGGACATGCAAGGAAAGTTATTGTGGTTTTTTTCTAATTTTTTTTATATATTTTATGTCTAAAAGGGTAAATTTCATACACAGTATATAAGATAATTTTGGTCAAGTGCTGGAGGTGTTGCCTTAACACCTTTAAGTGGATGTAATCAGCTTCCTTTTTATGTTTAATAAAATTTTTATTTTACTATAAAAAAATTTAATTTGGTCAAAAAACACTTGTTTTATCAATTATTAAGGTTATATCATCAAAAACGAAATTCCAAGTTGTTATTATCATAAAGAATAATACATTTTAAGTATAATCGGGCCAGACCTAATTATCCCTATTGATATTTGGTTTGGATCTGGTCTGTAGTCTGTTTTATAGAACTGATTAATAATCAGTTCAGGATTGGTCCATGTTGTCCCATACCAGACCCAACCCATTGGCAGCTCTAGTTCCATTGGATAAGTTTGTCCTTTCCCACTCTGTGCATGGGCTATACTTGTACATCTTTTCATACATTATGTATGTATATCAGGAGGGTAGGAGTTCAATACTCATCAAAATCCAATTGGGTGCTCTTGACAATAAGGCCGACTAGAAATAAGAGAGAAAAAGAAGAGAAGAAGAAGAAGAGAGAAGATAGAAGAGAAGAGGAGAGATTGGCGACAATGGAACAGTACTGGTGGCGCCAGCTTCTATTAATAATTATAGGGCGTCTAAAATAAAAAGGGAGAAAGACCCTTATGCCCCTGATGTAAGCAAAGTACAATAACAGAAAATAAAAATGACTTTAAGCCAACCAAACAGACCCTAACAAGACAGAACATAAAAAATAAGACAGAATAAACTATTTCAACAGGTGCAACTTAGTCTCCCACGTCTAATGATCAATGCATATTAATACATGCCAATTCATGTATTGTGGATACAGATAAATACATATGTGCATTAGAAAACTAAGATACAACAGAATGCCCTTAAGAAATACAAATAAATCTTATAGAGACACAAAGAATACTAGTTTTAATATCTAAATTTTGAGAATAAAGTGAAAGAAATACTTTATCTATCCATGTTAATCGCTTAACATTTAGAAGACAAAGCATTAGCACAAATATTGACTTTTGTTTTTTATTTTGGTTAATATGTTTTAATACATATGCAATTCTGAGGGTCCTTGCTTGGTCTAATGGTAAAATCTGAGGCTAACAAGCATGAGAAACGTGTTTGAGTCTGAAAGTGGCCACCTTGCACCAAGATAGAAAAAAAAAAATGCCAAAGGTTAGGTAAAGAAAAATACATGTTGATAATTTATACTTAAATGTGCCATTAATCTTTTGTTTTCCTACTAACAAATTAATTCTAGAAAAATCCAAAGCAGATGCAACAAAGAAGTAGTCCCAGAAAGATTCTTTCTAACAAAGCCATTTACATTTTTGTATGGACAAACAAGATCATTAAGAATTCAGAAGAGGACCACTATGAAAAAGAATCCAAAAGAGCATTCACCATCAATCATTAGAATAAGTATCACCAATACATGAATACCATGTGAAAACATCTAAAAATTCCTGCTTACAGTTTTCCCAGGTGATAGTGCTACAAGTCGTCCTGAAGTTCTGTTCACTGTCGCAGTCCCATCATCCATACTGGCATACTCAACATATGCCCCAACTGTGGGACCTCCTTCCACAGTAAGCTAAAGATAAAAAGATAAGATGATTTTGTTGCAATACAAAGAAAGTAACCAACCATCAGCAAAGAAAAAATATCAGAAAAATTAATAAGAACTTAAAAGCTTATAAATATACTGAAATGGCCATAAGTGTAGTCTAGAAGGAGATCTGATCATTTGATATTAAGCAACTATAACATGCCTCCTTTGCTCTTTTAATATTTCAAATCCTAAGTGGATAGGGGGTATCAAAATATTCTAAAGCATACCACATAAGATGCGCCAGGCACAAGAAAAAGATCATCAGGGTGTATCCTTGGTGGTGCATAGACTTCAACCTTAATAGGCTGGCTTGAAATTTCATGTCCAGAGCATTGCCTAGCACTAACCTAGAGATATCAAGTTATATCAATAGATTTAAAATCTTCTTAAAAGAGAATATCATTAACATAATTTGGAAGTAATAAATAGTAGAGTTTCAGTATCATGCCGGACAAAAAAAAAAGAAAAACTCACATAAAGAGTTGTAATCCCAAGTTGTTTTGCTTGAATTATAAATTTTGGACCATCAATATTTCCACTACCAGGATCTGAGATATCATCCTTGTTGACAAGCTCAAGTATAGGATCCTCAATATGGACATGAATATTCATGTAGACATACTACAAGAAAAGGAAAAAACAGCATAAGATAAAACAGGAATAAGGCAAAAATAGTAAAAAACAGTGGCTAAATATGGTTTGATATATCAGCAACAACTCATCTAGCACAAAGAGGTGTGTTAGAAAAGATAACATATTGAAAAGAACAAAAGGAGTAACTTTGTGAACAAAACACCCATGTACATCCTTGGGATACAGATATGTTGCACTGGTAAAAATACCAAGTAATGAGTTCCAATAACAAAATGTCAAAAACATATTTAACATCTTCAGAGATAAATACAAATTTAAACATTCAAACCTGAGAAGCATCAAAAGTACTTCCATCACGAATCCCAGCTAATATGTCAACAACTTTTGCACTTCCTTCCTACAAAACATCAAAATAAAGCCACTAATACATGCAATCCACAAATAAAATGAAAAGTGACAGTCAGACATACCATAAGGCTTATATCATCTTGTGAAATAATCTTAATCCAGTCAACATCTGCAACTTGAACCTGTATAATGTAAATACCTCCATGAGAAATCATGTCAGAAGATCAAAACTTTTACCATGGAAAGGGAAGAAGATGAAATTATTTTCATGAGTATCAGACAAGACCTAGACCAAACAGTAACACGAGAGGTGGAACTTCAGTTAGAAAATGTTACACAGATCCTAGACCAAACAGTAACAAGAATCTTGTTCCAACTTTATAGGGTTGGCGACATGAATCCTGTTCTGCCATTCCATTCTGTTCAGTGACAAGAATTCTATAACATGCAAATATTACAAATATGGAAGACTTTTTTCAGTCATATTGTACCTTTGGCTTTTTGACTTAGACACAGTAATACCCAGTCAAATTTTAATTATCACTTTATTGACAAAAGTAGGTCCAATATATGAGAGCTGTGGATATTTAAGACAGGATTTTGTAAACTTTCAGCACCTTTTTGGATAAACTTTCAATGCATTTCATTCTATATATTGGAAGTAATGTAAGAGGGAAAAGCATCCTAGGAATTTAGGAGCACATGAGGGACTAATAAGAATATCTGGTTCCTCTTTGAGGGGCTCTTTAGGAGCACTAAAAAGATTTATAGATATACATATACTCCATATGGAGTTTACATTATACACAATACAATAACACTGTATATTATGGCATTATTAATAAAATTTCAGCTACTAATCTAAAAAACATCTTAGGAATTTTTCGCCATCTAAAAATAATGAAATTTTAATACAATTTACTGCTGGTACATGTTGCTACATGCAGTAACAGTCAAACTGAGGTATTGGGGATCCTCAAGGATCATTTCAACTAATCAAAAAATGATCCAAACTCTACTCTATATCCATAAAGACCTTTGCAATGGTTCTTTCAACAAATACTGAAGAAGAAACAAGGAGGGAGAAGATAAACATTATTAACAAGAATGAGGAACTTTTATACTCTGAAATGCTAAAAGCCAAATCAACATACAATTCAAAATAGAAGAAAATTACCACAGCAGAAGCTGCAAGAGGAGGAGAAAGTCCCATATCATGAATGGTGACACGTGCACTTCCCAACCCTACAGGACCCAGCATTACTTGCAAGCACTGAAAACTTGGGGGTGGTTGAATTACTTCTATGACTCGAGTATCATTCACAACAGCATCCATGAAACAAGTTCCTCCAGTAATCGACAGATTTACCTGTTTTAAGTTGATAATAGGTAATAATACAATATAACAAACTAATAGGCCAAAGGACAACGATTTTTTACCATGTGAAAGCAAACATGAGAACAATGGAAAAGTACTTCTCTTTTTCTTTTTCTTTTTTCTGATAACCAATCAAAAAAATATATTATGTACCATGTGAAAGCGAACATGAGAATAATGGAAAAGTACTTCTCTTTTTCTTTTTCTTTTTTTTCTGATAACCAATCAAAAAAAAATATTATGTACATGTATAAAGGTCTACATTGCACCTATATAGATGAATTGACAAAACATATTCAGGAGGAGGTCCCATGATGCTTGTTATTTGATGATGGCATTGTTTTAATTGATGAAACTAATGAATGGAAAGCTCCAGTGAACAATATAATAAAGATGAATTTCAATGGAAGCTCTTTGGGAAATCCAGGCCCAGCAGGCATAGGGGGTGTACTCAGTGATTCTAAGGCAAGATGGTGGCAATGTACTCAGGACCAATTGGAATGGGGGACTCGGTGAAAGCTGAAGACTTGGCTTTACTGCAATTATTAAGGTTAGCTAAACAGCTTCAGTATCAACAGATGGATGTGGAAGGTTATTCCAAGCTAGTTATTCCATGGACAAAGAATAGTACTTCAGTTCCCTGGGTCTACAAGGCATGCCTTTAAGGAAATAGAAAGCATCACAAGGGATAGATGTCACATTCAGTTGGGTTAGAAGAACAGCAAATGGGATGGCAGATCAATTAGCTAAACAGGGGATTCAAAGACCGCAATTGATTTGGGCCAAAGTGTAATGCAATATTGAAATGTATACTGTAAAACACGGGCTCTTGGAACAGTTCAAGATGAGAGTACCAATTCTGAATTAAATCAATTAATAAAGTTTCTTTCTATTTTGTTGATCAAAAAAATGATAAAACTAATGAAGGATTAAATATGAAAGAAAATAGTTTCTAGAAGAGAGAAGGAGAATAAGAGAAGAAGAGAAGTTGAAAGAAAAGAGAGCAATAATCTGGCCGCCCCCTTCACTTATTATTTATACTAAAATAATAGAACAGTACAAAGACAACTATGCCCTTATAGGGTGGCAAAACATAAAACAGCATATATAACACTCAAAAAACATAATAAAATATGGACTCACATAACTACTGTGGTCCCCACCTCCTA